GCGGTACTGGTGGTTCTTGGCCAAGAAAGTACCGAAACTGGATTTCGCCGGTACCGCCAGCACTACCGATCACGAGACTACATCTAAATATAGCCAACCGCATGGCACATGCTGCTGATTCTAAGTTTTCTGCATTATGTGGTGTTTGAATAGAAGTCTCTTTTATAATACCATACAGGAAAAGTTCAAAGATTGAATTCAAAAGATGCAGTGAACCGGAAAATGAGGAAGCGCTTATGAAACCTTGTAACCAATCAGAGCATGGCTGACGGCGACGGGCTGCAGTTAGCCGCAAGTGAGCACTTTTACCGTGTGAAACACATCGATACAGTACAATACATCAAGCCACTGTCCCAACATGTCGTTTCATGCAGTATCTCTCAATGGCCTTCTATAAACAGTCTGTGGGAATGCCAGGATGTGATGATATCACATTAGGCAGGCCTACTAAAATAGCCAATCAGGCAGGAGCGTCGTTCTACGTTTAGCCACTTATATATATGTGCGTATACAGCAAACTATGATACTTTTAGGCCTTTTTAAAGTTGAAGTTAAAATTCGAATAATTGTACGAATAACTAACTCTGTATGGTTATTGGTACAATTGTAACTAGTTAGAGTTGTACGCACTGTAGTACTAATAACCGCAGCCATCTACAATTGTACGATACAATGTTGTACGGATAACTAGACAAAGTTGTTCGCACAATTGTACGGATAACCACTCCGTAGAAAAAAGACCCAGCCTCAGGTCTAGCTAGGCCAAGAAATAAAAAGAGCCAAGTGACTATTTCTCCGAACGTTCGGAGAAATTGTGCCGATATTTATTTCTCCGAACGGTTTCCGGCTTCCGGTCTCGTGACTTTTTGCCTATTTGAGAGAGACCAGCGCCAACTTTCATTCTGCCATTCTGCGAGGTCTGAGAAGGAACACATTTTGGGGTCTTCAGTAACACCCACCACACACCCACCACCATCATGCACATGCACACACACAAACTTATAATTTTATACACACACAAACTAAACATGACCAGTGGGCAACTTTTGAACGTAT